ATATTACAGTAGGGAACCGATTATCCGGAACGATCGGGACCATCGCTATTCCGGATAACTGATTTTTCCGGTTTTCTGAATCGCTACAAAAAGCCGTTTTTTTATTGTTAAACCCAACTAAAAAGAATAATATTTGGAAATAATCTTAAAATGAAGAAAAAACGAAGTAATACACTAATGATTATTTCCAAAATGATAGTAAGGTAAACATCTTTCCAAAAAGANGGATAACTGATTTTTCCGGTTTTCTGAATCGCTACAAAAAGCCGTTTTTTTATAAACTAAACTAAATAAACTTTTTTATAAACCCAACTAAAAAAAATAATATTTGGAAATAATCTTAAAATGAAGAAAAACCGGAGTAATACACTAATGATTATTTCCAAAATGATAGTAAGGTAAACATCTTTCCAAATATAAAGAAAAATCCTAAAATCTTATGAGGGAAAAAAAAAAAAATTTTTAAAAAATGGCGGGAAAATTTACGAATTTCGTTCCGGTTTTTTGGTTTTCCGGTTTTCTGATTTCCGGATAACTGGTTCTGTATTGTATTTCTTATTTTAAAATGTGATATTATTTCTGTACTTAAATGCCTATAATAAGTTAACTAGTAAAAAATAATTTTAGGAATTTTTATTTTTTAATTGATATTATTTCTCAAAGTAAATTAAAAAGAAACTAAAAAGAAAAACTAAAAATAAAATTTTAATTTATTGTAAGAGTATGTTACTACTTGTTTAAGACGTAATCGCTTATAAGACCTTATCGTTTAGGACGTAAGGACTCTGTATTTTTATTATTAATTCTATATATTTTTATTAAATTAGAATGCTCAACATATTTGTGGGCAATAGTAAACGATAAATTTAAAAATTAAACGTTGGTTATACAATTTATAAACTTCATAAAATGTTGTTGTTATTTTTAGTAATTTGGTAACGTTATATTTTAAATATTTCTTCCTTATTGAAAAATTAAAAGCTAACCCTTTTATTGAAGTTAAACCTGCTTTATGATTATGTTTTAGTGATAATCAGAAAAAACTTTTTCATATTTAACTGCTTAATAATTAGTTTGGATATTTAATATTTCATTGTCATAAAGGAAACATTTTATACCTTTAAAATTAAGGTTCTATAACATTTTGTTATATGAAAAAATTTTTTGACTTTAATTATGAGAACTCAACAATTTTTGCTCATTGATTAAATCTATTCTACTTTCATTCAGTTATTTATCAATTCTCTGCAGTTTCACTTGCATTTAGTTAATATATTAACATTAATATATTATCATTGATATATTATCATTAATATATTACCATTAATATACTATCATTAATATATTAAAATTATTAATGCGTTGTTCATATTAAAAACTATATACCTGCTGAAGTTTTCATTTGACTATTTTAAAATTCTTGCGTTTAAAGAAACTGAATCAATTATTTTTTCATGGGTTTTAGAAATTTCAAGAAATAGTAATAAATGTTAAATGAACATTAAATTTTCAATAAAGTACTAATTTACACAATTCGTTGAAACTTAAAACCAGCATACAACAATAATTTTTAAATAGATTCATGTTATAACAAGTTAAAATCAAATATTTAAATATCGAATAGGATAATCCAGCATTAATAACATCATGTAAAACATTTTGATATCATTTGAATGAAAAAGGGTAAAATGAAATATCAGGTAAAATAAGATTAAAATTAAAACCACGAATAATGAATTTATGAGATAAAATTAAATATCATTTATTAATTCAAACTATATTCTATAATTAATTACTGTAAGTAATTTTTAAAACAGTGTATATAATATCCTCCCTTAACTTAACTTCCGTTTTTTTTTAACTTTTATACGCCTTTTAATTACAAATGAGTTTACTACAAGCCGTATTTGACTATTTTCACTAAGTTCTTTGTACATTTATTTGAAGGATTTAAAAAAAAAAAATTTTTAACACACATTTAACACTCAATTATGATGAAAAAAAAGATAATATATACACTGATATCTTGAAAACATACTTTTGTAAATTTTTAATTAATTTCATAAAAAATTCAATATATTTTAACTATAATTCCCAATAATCTAGAACAGATAAAAAATTTAAAAAAAACTTTATTTGAATTTACTTTAGCTATTACAAATTGAATCTAAATTGTGATATTATTATTTATAATTTATTTAAGATTGTTCACATATTTAAATATTGGAAACATTTTTCTTTTACCTTGATGAATAATGTTGAACATGTAAAACATTTTTGGATGCATAATTGAATATTCATTGCTATTGGTTTAAACATTTCTTCTCTACCGCAAATTCAGTTAAAGATCCTTAAAAATTATTAAACTATTTCGAAATTTTCAATTAGAACAGTATTTCACATCTTATCTTAATTATAATCTCTTTTATTAAACTAAAAGATTGCTCTAATTAACCTTAAGTAATATAAATTGAATCTGAAATATGTTAATACTACTTATTTATTATTTGATTTTTATTATAAATTGTGGTTTTATAAAATATTGATTATTTATTTATAATAATATAATTGCTGTAATTAAATATTTATTACACTATATTGTTTACGAATCATTCACATTTTTTTAGTTTATTCAATTTAAGTAACCTAAAGGACATTATTGTTTATTTAATTTAACATTTTTTAATAATAATTTTTCTTCAATCTAAGAATAGATTTTTTTTCAATTAAACTAATTTTATTTTAACTCATTTTGGCCGTTTAAACTATAGTTATGTTGAGCAACCAACTAATCAAAAACCTTTTTATACAAATTCAAAGATTTTTATATCGTTTCTTTTTTCCAAATTAAAGATATTTATTTTTACTCTGTAATTTAACATTTGTACTAACCTTAGGAATATTATCTTAACATTGAAATTAAGAAGTAAAATATAATTATAAAGCAAAAAGTTGCTTTTTAATTATGTTTATATCATGCTTTATATCATGTTGCATTTTAAATCAAAACATTACTGAATATGCATAAATTCGATTCAAATTATTCATATGATTAATCAATTTTAATTTATTAATTTAATCAATCAATAAATATATATGTATTTGCATCCATTCCATTAAAAATTAATATTACCCATCATTAGAACCCCTTTACTTTAATCAAAAGTCCAATTTTTTAAAGTGAAACTTTTGTATTAAAATCAAATTACTATTAAACAAACTTAAACTGTGTAAAACTAGAGGTTCTGTTCAATATTTGATTTACTCAACAACTCTAATGGTTGCTTCAAAAGCTTTTATTAAACATCGTAAGGGTTTCAGAATTTTATGTAATTAGTGTTGACTTAAATTATTTTACTGGTTAACCATTTTTTTTAAAAAGAATTAAACAAATTTTCAAACCAATGCAATTTTGTCACCATGACTGTTATTTATGACGTTTTGTATGCCTTGCATTTTTCATCATATTAATTATAAAATTATTTCTAAAAATATTTATTATAAAAATGACGTGATGATATGACCACAATGTTTATGATATAACATTTATTGTTGTTTCTCATGCCATATGGTCATTGGTTTAGTTTTAAGCCTTTATTTTTAAATAATTACCAAAATCATAAACCAAATCATGAAAATCATGAATAATTATCTAAAAAAAAATTATTGGTAGTGTGATAAGTTTTGTTACTTGTAATGCTTATGGTTGTTTGCAAATTAGGCATAAATTTTTTTTGAAATTTAGATTAGTCTAAGCAGAGTTTTTCATTAGAATAGTGTTACAACAAATAAACAAGTCGAAAATTAGTTAGACAGACCATTTTTTTAAAAATATATTACAGAGATTTCATGCGTATTTTAAGTAGAAACAAACGTTAAGATGCGCATCTATTCTATTCAAATTCCACCGATTATCAATTTAAAATGAATCAATTGCTCAATATGTTTAAATTCGTTAATTACTAATCTAATAATTATTTTCAATAAAAACACCTTTGCTTTAATTAAAAAATATACTCTACTTTACTTTCAATGTCAAAATCAAAATTATAAACTTCAATTACATAAATATCAGTTTTACTTCACTAAAATGACGTAAAAAAACGTATAAGAAATATTATGTTCAAATTATTATACATATTTAAATTTAATAATTGCAGTTCGGTTATAAATCACAATTACATTACATTACTATACTGCATAACACAAAATTACATTAATACATTGTTTATAAAATTAAATATACCGGAATAATTTAATTTAATAATGAAACCGTCCTTTTCCGCATGTTGAAGTGATGTTGATTTGACCAATAAATTTAAATTTAAAAACTACTAGTGCATTAATTATTGTTAAGATAAAAAAATAGATCTAATTACATAAAAATTATATGAAGTAAAAGTTTCCCTACTCCAAAAGCAGAAATAATTTTTGTGGGAAATGTGTTGTGTTAAAATTTTAATTACATATACTTACATTAAAAATAAAACATAACTTTAAATACCAAATTGCATTAATCAATTGTATTTTTAATAAAGACTGCATCAACGAAATAACCTTTTAAAAGCAAATTCAATTTAAATTCGTCAAATGAACAAAATTTTTCGATTAATCTTATTCATTAACGCAAACTCCCAATAAACAATTCAACAAATAAATTAATAATCATACGAATCTAATGAAATTAATGCTGCTTTATTACACTACTCAATTTCCAAAACCCAACATTAATTCCATTTCCCACTATAGCTATTTTCATTCATTTGACTTCCCTCTAAATGAAATTTAACCAAGCATGTCGCATTAGATTTGTTAACGTTGTTTCTTGTTTGTGGAAACAAATTATTACATTACTTTGAGAAAATATTTAACTTAACCACCTCGAATTTCCACTCATCCATATTGATCGATTAATCTTGGCGATAGCGCTTGGCGTTATTTTGTGTTCTGTGATGCACTCTATGGCAAACCTAATTCTTTTCCGTTTGTTTTCAATGTAGCCTCGAGCCCGGATCACGGCGGAAACCCGGACCTGTCCGCCAATCCTCCGCCTGCTTCATCGCCGCATTTCAGGCCTACGATGCAAAGCCCTGGTCCTCCATATCAAAGTAAGATGATTTAAAAAAAATATTTAATTATTTTTTTAAAATTGGAATGTGTTAAATATTTTATTGGTTTGATATTTTTAGGGTTTTAAACTCGAATTTGTAGATCACTAATTCAGACGATCGCCCGCATATGCTGATAGCGCCATCTATATTCCGATGTTTTGACTGGCGCGAAGTTGTTGGAATGAAATGAATTAATGCGCATTTTGAAATTTTAGTTTTGATTTTCCTGCAACGCGCGTCGGACTTGTTTGAGTTTCGTTTTTACATACGCTGAGGAATATGGCGGGAATATTGAATTTCTATATATTCTTGAACACTGGTGCAGAGTTTGCTAATTTTACATCATTCTCATACGAAGTATTTCTAACAGCATTTAACAGAATTATAATCTTTTAATTAAATTTTAAAATACTTTTATTTAAATTTCGAAATAACTTTGGAAAGATGTAAAAAATTCTCACTAAAAAATGTCTTACTAAATTCTTGCACTAATTAAACAATTTTCATAATTTCAATATGAGTTTTCTTTATTTTAAAATTTTCGCATTAATATACTTCTGAAACAATTTTTTTTTTAAAACGTGAGGACTTTTTATGCTTATTTGGAAAACAAACGAAAATTTATTAATTTTAATTGTTTTTAAACACGGAAGACGAAAGCAATTTTATTGAAATATATACAAATTTAAGGTTTAAAAATATTTGCGATTATCGATTGCTGGACTTCAGAGTTGCAGTTGTAAATAGGTAATATTAATTGAAAAACAAACTCTGTGCTTTTACTCTTTTTCTTATGAAACAAATTAATATTTGGTACACAATGATGTACTTACACATTACAACTTCTTAGTAAAATACGCTTCAAATTTTCAAATTAATTTCATATATTAATTATAAGTATAACTTTGATTTTAGCCATTAAATACTAAAATCGGAAATTAATTATATGAACCTATTAAACTCATGATAAATTAATTGGGTGATGAAAGAAACACAATTCATTATCTCTATCAGATATTAATCGATAATTCATATTAATTTGGGTTTGTTTTTTTTTTACTTAAAAAATATTTCATTGTATCCAATTATGCTTCGTAAAATAAACTCAAATACTATTTAAAAAATATTTTCCGTTATTCTATATCTTGTGAAATCATGAGGGACTTGTAAAATGTGACATTTATAATTATACCTTTCAATTATTTCTTAATAACTTTTTTGAACGTCTCGGAATGGTTTTATTGTATATTGATTACTTTCTGTTCCTAAATAAACAGCTTTAATGTCGTCAAATCATTTAAATTAAGAACAATTTCCGTGTATATACACACACAAAATATACTATTTTAATAAAAGTAATTGAAAGAATTTTAATATTTAAAATAAATTTTAGTATTAAGTTTTCCGCGTAGAAATATATAAAATTTTGAAAACAATTGGATTCACACTTATATGTGCGAATATAAGTGTAAAACATGGACCAGGAATTTGAAATATACTTTCTTTTATTTTATCTTTAAAAAAATCTTTTAAAAAACTTTTCTGACTTATTTATGCATCATAAGGAACAACGATTTATCATTTACCGTCTTCTTATATAAAATTCTTAAAATCCTATTTTTAAATGTTTATGTCTTCTTTTGTTTTTTAAATTCTGCATACTTTAAATTTCCCAATTACTCTGAGTCTTAGCTTGACATGATATTTTATGATAAATGTTTTATCTTGTAGCCAACTAAACAAGAGAAATTTTTAATGTTATGTAAGAAAAATAATTTTTTTCTTTTTTTTTTTTGAGAGAGAGAGAGAGAGAGAAAGCCTTGTTATATAAATTTTCATTCTTAAATAATTTATTTAAATACTAGCGATTTTATTTTGAAAAACAATTTTATAAACAATGGGCCATTTTCTAAAAGTACGACTTCTTAGTTTTATTCTTGATTGAACAAACAAAACCTGTTAAAACACTTAAATAAACGATGAAAATGTATGTATTGTTTGAAAAATTTAACATTTATTCATACAAATACGATGATTTTCGGCAAAGTTATGAGACACAAATGACAGTTATACATAAATAACTGCTTTTAATGCTTATTTTTATTTTTTGACATTTTTGTAGAAAACGAACAACTTTGAAATAAAGTTAGCTTCATAATTTTTTTTAAAACACTCACGTAACTTTATATATATGTTCGAAATGTGTTTTTGATCACTCTCAAACAAATATGCAATAAATTAAATAAAATACTTTCATGTCTGATAAAATCAATAAATATTTTACAGTAACAAAATGTATTCAATTAAAGGTAATAAAATATTTTATAGCATGTGCAAAATTTGAGAGCTAATTTCATAATATTTTGTAGAAACTATAAATAAGAATTTTGCACACTTTGATTGAGTGGAGAACAATGCTCTTAAGCTCCGTTAACTTTAGTGCCTCTTGTAAAGGTAATTAACGTATTTCTTCATAATAAATATGATAGTGTTCTGAACGAGTTGAATTTTTTGACAATTGGCGATAAAGGCAACGAAATTTTGTAAATCGGCTCAACCAATAGTCTGATAATAATACTGGAAAAATCTTATTTATACTCTTCGAACTAAGAGTTTACTAAACATTAGTCATTATAAAAAGTGTTAAATGATAGAAACGTTTTGTAGAAGTTACTCAAGCCTATTTAAATATTCAAAACACATAACATATAAGCAGCTGATAAACAGTTTGAAATATTTGATTGTTATCCAAAGATATTTGAAATTTTGCAGAAGTTAAGACATAGAACGGACAAAAGGCGTGCTTTAATTGTAAACTGTGTTATTATAACCATGGAAACAAAAATATGAGGATATTTTTCTGAGATTTCACTTAATATCAGAATCTCTTTTAAAAATGTGACTAAATGATTACATTTTTAGAAAGAAATATATATATCGTTTGAACTTTTTAAAACATCCAGATAGTTAAAAAAATATAACGTTCACATTGAAAATGAACAGAGTACTTTTTTTGCCAAAAATATTTGACCCCTAAATAAAATAAATATCAAAATTTGACATATATTTTGTTGTCACGAAAAGCAATGCTTTGTCTAAATTGATAAGCAAGGTGAACTTCTTCTTCCGAAACTACAACATGTTAAATAATAAACTAAACTAAGCTTAACTCAGAGGCGCGACAGCCCATGGAGGGCCAAGGCCTACTGTGCCCATCTCAGTTTTCTTGACCTTGGGCTCTGGGGTACAGGAGCAGATGTTCCGGTCAGGTGGTCAGCCGGACGCGGATCCCCCTGTGTTTAGTTCCCAAGCATGCTTGGTACTCATTTAGCGACCACCGGAAGTCATATTAAATAATAAAAGAAATATTTAAATTGGCCCTCTAACCTAACCTTATCCTACGTATTTTTACTTTGTAATAAAATCTTCATTGAAAGACAAATTCCATCTGTTTTAGTAAGCTCACATTTTAACTTTGTATTAATAAATTGAGTTTTAATAAGGCGCTTATCTCAATTATGTGGTTAAGATTTTTAGGTTTAAAAAAAATATTATACAAATGTAAATTCATTTCACGTACGTTTTAATTTCTCAAAATAAGTTTTAAAAATAAGGCATCAAAATATCTAAGATAATTTTTAATGAAATCAATAGTACACAGTGCGCAAAAAATAAAAGGACCATTCTGAATAATTTTTGATCTAATGATCGGATCTTCACGTTCTGGGAGTCAATCTTAATGGTTCGAGGGGCTGACCTCAAATATGCAAATCAATAGGCGGAGACGATAATTTAAGTTAAGAAATCAGACAGAAAAACGTACTTTCTCTGAATAAACATGCTTTTTTAGACTGATTCGGATTTCTGACTCCCAAAATATATGGGGAAGATTCAATATGGTCCCAATACTTTGGGCGGGAGAGGAGTCCAAAGTTTGGACCCCCTTAATGTTAATTTAATTTTTTGCGTATTTCACTATATCTCGAGAACTTTTTAAGCAAATTGAAAACTTTTTGCACACAATTATAAAATTCGTTTGTCCAAAGATAATTCCATGAAGAAAAAAAGAAAAATTTATAAATATTTTTTATATTTTTATTATTTTATTTCTAATAATCGAAAATATTTTGAATTGTAATCTATAAATTTTTCGTATTATTTTTAATTACGTCATTTCAAATGGCACAAAACAAAATTCGACTGAAATCGGTTCAATAGTTCATGAGAAATCAAATTTTAAATGTAAGACTTATATTAGACTTCATTAAATTTCGATTTCCCAGGAATTATTCGTCCGATTTTCCTTAAATTTTGTATTTTGCCGCCATGAAAAAGTACAAATTTTAATATGACGGAAAAAATTTATACCATGCAATTCCATTTTTAAATAAAATAATAAAAAATAATAAATATTTGCAAAAAAAATTTTTTTTTGCATGGAATTACCTTTGCACAGACGAATTTTATAATTGTGAGCAAAAATATTTCAATACACTTGAAAAGTTCCCAAGATATAGCGAAATATACAAAAAATCAAATTAACATTAAAGGACCCAAACTGTAGACCCCTCTTCTGACCAAACTATTGGGACCATATTTCCCAGATTGCGGCTACCTCTACATTGTTTCGGCGATCAAAAATCCGAATCTGTTAAAAAAAAAAAAAAAAAAAAAAANATTCGGATCTGTTGAAAAAAGGATATTTTTATTCAGAGAAAGTACGTTTTTGTGTCTGCTTTCGTAACTGCAAATATCGTCTGCACTAATTAATTAGCATATTTGGAATCATCCCGTCTAATCAGAGATTGAGTCCTAGAACGTGAAGATCCGATCACTAGATCAAAAATTACTCAAGGTGGTTTTTTTTTTTTCGTGAGCGTGCATTGTTATCATTTTTAAACTTCTTATTTAGATTTTTCATGCATACTATATATAAGTAACTGTGATCTCAGGTAACCGAAGTATTTCTCGTCTGCTTGTTCTTTTTTTTTTTTAGA